TTTGACATCTTTGATACAAGTAACGAGTTCACTTCCAAGTGAACAACCCGATAGTCTTCTTCTTATCATAGCATACCAACCAGCGAACACCCAGCCAAGTTTAGTTAGCCAGTTTGAGTATTCGTTACATAGCTAAGCTAATATATTATGATATTAAAATAAAGGTAAAGTATTGGGATATATAAGTATAGGATAGTAAGAGTAACTTTATATAAATATTTAGAGTAATTCCCCTAATTATATATTAGATACCCCCTCTCCTAAACTAAACCTTTATTTAGTTTTAGCCTTATCTTCTAGTTTTTCCCCTTTCTTATTATTTAAGGCTCTATTACTTATACTATTACTTATACTAGAGCTATGTAACGAATACTCAAACTGGCTAACTAAACTTGGCTGGGTGTTCGCTGGTTGGTATGCTATGATAAGAAGAAGACTATCGGGTTGTTCACTTGGAAGTGAACTCGTTACTTGTATCAAAGATGTCAAACTAATATGATAAGATTGATAACTAAGTTGAGCACGAAGCTCCTATCTAATGGCAGACATGCCAGTCTTATATAGAACCTTCGTTCTCTGAATATCGCTGTCCCTGACTGTCGCGCTGCGACAGTTCGCTCAGTCGTGCTGTCGCGCTGCGACAGCTCGCTTGCGCGCGCTGTCGCGCTTTCATCACGTGACTATGAATACTAAGAAATCCCTGGATCGCTTAGCTAGTCTAAGGATCCCTATTTGCTATAAGGTCTTTCTGATGTGCTTGTCCTTTCAGGGCGCCGCCTGGACTTCACTTGTCCCGTGCTAACACGTGATTCGTGACAAGCTATTAACTCTATATTCCTTAATTATATATTTCCTCCTATATCTCATATAATTATAATAATGTACATGTCGGTGATTCTGCATCTGGAAACCGGGATTGCCTGAACAGGGAATCGCCTCGCTTGGCGGCCCTGCTGCTCTAGCGCGCTTGCTGCTTTGCGATGGCTACCAGGGCCCCCGCTCACCCCTGCTAGTTCCCATTGAGTCCCCCACCTCATGTATAAATCCAGTGCTGCTTCCCATCTCAACAACCCAACATTTCATTCCCTTCCCAACTTTCCAACGCTCCTGCTGTATGCCACCTTCGCCATGAGACCAACTCGGCCATACCGCCATTTCACGAGACCGTCGTATTACGTGTCCTAACCCTCAAATTTCCCTCACCTAGCCAGGCCAGTCCACTGATTAGCTGATACTCCTCTGTAAGTACCCCTCAGTTCTCCGTCGCTGGCGTCATTACCAGGAATCTGCTTCGTACTGACAACGATCTCAATCTAGCTTATCTCGGTCACGCCGACGCTCTACCACGCGTCCATCGCTAAGACGAAGCTTTCCCCCTTCTCTAGGCCCGTATGCGATCAAGTCAAGACGCCGTTGCTGGGCTCAGCATCGCTATCCTTCTCCAATGTCTCCGCTGAAATTCATGCCTAGCATCCTTCAGGCTTCCTACGAGACTTTTCGTCAATGGGAGGTGTGACACGATTCCTGGGTCAGCATAAAGTGGGAGGGTCTTTTCGGGAAACAAATGCTTGGGCCAGAGAGAGCCAGCTCAGCTCATGACGCGGCAAACCAAGGAAGAGGCAGGGTAAGCAGGCTTGGAGAGGGTCTAGACTAATCTCGATTCCCCTCTTTGGCAAAGGGTCCCCCAGTTTGAGACTCGCAGGACCAACAAGTACGGGTCGTACTTGTTAGTGCCTGTACAGGGTACGAACAAGTCAGAAGATAGCTGGAGTGTTTGGAGGGGGGCTAGTTGAGCTAGCATAGGGTGGGGCGTATCACAACAACCTAGTTTCCTGCTAGCTAGAAGATTTCTCGCGATTCTCTCTACACAAGTTTCCTTTTACAGTAATCACCCTACCCATGATTGCCTAATAGGGGACCTCTTCCCGGATTCGCCAAAATCCAACTGCATAGCATGACGATGTACAGCCCATCTAGACGGTCCGAATTCCGTTTGTACAGCACATTCAGTTCATGACGCAGCAAACCAAAGAAAAGGCAGATCAAGCAAGCTCAGAGAGGGCCCAGAACAATTTCGATTCCCATATTTGGCAAATGTCTTCCAATTTGAGATTCGTAGGACTTACAGTAGGGGTCCTACTCGTTGGCGCCTGGGCAAGGTGTAACAACGCAAGAGATGGCCGGAGTGGTTGGAGGAGGGTTGGTTAAGCTAGCATACGGTGGGGCGAATCACAACAACCTAGTTTCCTGCTAGCTAGAAGATTTATCGCGATTCTCTCTACACAAGTTTCCTCTTACGGTAATCACCCTACCCATGATTGCCTAATAGGAGACCTCTCCCCGGATTCGCCAAAAACCAGCTGCGTAGCATGACGATGTACAGCCCATCCAGACGGCCCTATTCGCCTTTGGATAATACACGCTGGAGACTTAGCCTGCAAATACGCGGTGGGCCTCTCGAGATGGAGTTCCCCTTGACCCATCAGCGGTTCCGAAGCTCTCCTGCCTGTCGAGACATGAGGCTGTGATCTGCCAATACCGTAACTCGGTGTGGCCGAGATAGTTGTTGGGTGTTTTATTACATTTGAGGAACATTTCACGGATTAGCGGCTATTTCCAGACTCTGTATGTGGCGCGGTTCGTCACTTAGAGGCTAGAACGAGAGCAGGGGATGGCAGATGCAAATTGCAAATTCTGTCTAAAGTGCGTAGTAGGACAGGTATATAAGAAGTCATCATCTCCCCCATCTGTATTCTACATCTAATTATCAGATTTCAAAGACGCTCTCCACATATTTACTCTACGCTCAAGATGGCCACCTTCATTCCTTACGTTTCGAAACCACAAAACGCTACCATTCGGAAGTCCAACAAGCTTGTTTTCAAAAATCTTAACTCGCAAGATTACTCGCGGATCGAATCAAGTGATGTGCTAGTTGAAATGCTGCCGGCGCCTAGAGGAGCAACAAGCGAAAAGGACTGGCAAGGCACAGCTGCTAGTGAGAGCATAGCTCAAGGTACTCAAGGTATGTGTTCAAACCCACAATACTACTGTCGCCGTCTTTGTCTAACAAAATAGCGGACTCAATATCGGCAAAAGAAGGGCTGGGTGCAAAGAGTAATATCTGTAGCCAGGAATCGAAAGCTAGTAGCGGCCATGGTACGTGAGCTGGGTTTCACAGACGTAGTGCAGAGAATTCTTAGTTAGTACTACAGATATAATTTCCAATCACATAGCCGAGGGGTATGCCAATATTGGCGATGTCATCGATAACGACAAGGCCCTGTGTGTTTCTAAACGACAGAGATATGACTCTCCCCTCCCCGACGAAATACCCTCACACTACGATAAAAAGCGACAACGGCGTTCTCCTTCATCATTCTAGGGGATGAAAAGGACGACGGAGCTTTTAGCATTCACGTTGACGGAGACATTTGTAGTACTGCTAGAACGACTCCTGTACTTGAACTGGATCACCTAACAGAGTCCAGCGTATTTCCAGAGGTCATTAACGACGACCAAGAGTGGGAGGTCCGACGAATCATTGGCAAAGAGGTCATTGATGGTGAAACGAACTACTTGGTGGACTGGAACCCGACATTGCTCCCTGCGCACTTGCTAGGGCATGCAAAGGAGTTGGTGGGCAAATTTGAGGACCGCCTTCGAGCACAGCGCGAGGCTAAGAACGGGCCAAGGGGGGCTGGTTTAAAGCGAAAAGGGAGAGGGGCGACTAGAAATGCTGATGGGCAACACAAGAAACCAGGACGCCAGCCCCGGAAGGAGGAGTAAGTGTAAAGTCAGTTGGGATAGTCAAGTACCTCTATCACGAAGCAGATTTGAAAAGAAAGATGGGCGATGATATCTAATCTTCTACCCCTAATTGTAGTTTTGTAGGATTTTGGCAAGGGCCCTTTAGCATAGTTCAAGAGATATTACTTTTACCTAATCTCAGCTTGTTTAGAACATGCTTATCCTTCGATGTGAACATATTTTAATCGCTTACTTCGAGATATTGGGTGTCCGTGGGTAGCAGCACCTCCTGCGGCATTAGGGTCGTAAGATAAATGATTGGAGATCTTCGTATACTAGCCTCGCAGTTCTTGCTTATGTGCTCCTCTCTGCCTATTACTCTGACCCTAGCTCTGCAAGACGGTCTTACAGGTCGATCCTAAGTTACATGATCTTATTACAGGGGTTTAAACGTGTGATTCGTGAAACAAACCTTGTTCCTACCCTGACATTGATGACTTGAGGCACTACATGTGTTCAAGTTCGTAGCTCATGTCCCTGTACCTTTGGTCTTCCCCCAGCTTTCCCCTTCGCCTCTTTACTCTGTAGTACGGCTCCTAAATTGCTCAAGAAGTTGCCTCTGTTCTATAAATCTTATTACCTTTTTACCATCTTCAATTCGTGGATCATCGGAGTAAGCTTCTTTTTACCCTCTAGGATATTACGCCATTGTCTAGTTGTTTTCAGGGTGGAAGCGCGTTCTACACCTTATCTGAAGCATGTCACCCCCCAGCAACGATGTGGAGATAAGCAAGGATTAGAGACAACGAATTCAGCTTCACCAAGCACGAGAGGGTTTCCGGAAGTCGCGGTTGCATGGAATAGCTAGTAGAAGGGACAGTCGATTACAATCACAAATCTGTTCCATTGCTTATAATCAACCTATTAACCAAGTTATACAGACCTTGATCGTACAGCTTAAACTGTCACATGCCTAGTAAATAGCTGGTTTAAACTTAAAATACTTAAAACTTCAATAGCATACCTCGTCACAGGGGTAACAGTTACGCCAAGCGCTGCTTTCATTCTACGATAGTGCCACTACTAATTAGAATAATTATTACTAATAGACGATTAAGGTTACAGTATAAAATACTAGTAAAAATAAAGAAGCCTAGCTAGCGATTCTGCCGGATCCTGCCGGACTTAGTTAGCGTTTTTTTCTACCAGTCATAAAACCTCGTCAATTCTACCGGATTAGGTTAGCGACTTTTTCTGCCAGTCATAAAACTTCGCCACTTCTGCCGGATTAGGTTAGCGACTTTTTCTGCCAGTCATAAAACCTCGTCAATTCTGCCGGATTAGGTTAGCGACTTTTTCTGCCAGTCATAAAACCCCGCCACTTCTGCCGGATTGGGTTAACGGTTTTTTCTGCCATTCTCAAAATTTGCCGCGCGATATCCCGCTATCGTAAACTTGTTAAGTTTCCCTAATGGCTTAAAGAAAATGTTTCGGTGATCTTCCGTCAATTTCCGACTCACGAAAAGATCACTCAATAAACTAGTGTACCTTTTAACTCGTCGGCAGAATAAGCACCCCGGCTGTCGAGAAAACTAGGCGTATTCCATCAAACGCGCTTCCACCATCGCCGCAAAAACAGCCAGACAATAGCGCAATATCCTGGCGGGTAAGAATATCCTGGCGGGCAAGAAGAAGCTTTTCCCCGATGATCCACGAATTATCACAAACTTCGAGGATTGACTCTCGAACTGGTTTGAGGGCACGCATGCTAGTAGTAATTGTAATGTGCGTAAATGACGAGAAGGAAAATGGCCGAGTTAGCTCTCCCCACGTGACGAGTATTCAATTTGCCATGTTGGCTTGATAATGTCTAGATATTAACACTTTGTAATATAATATATAAACCTACCTATGGGATGCTGTAACAACACCATGGGACTGTTACGGTTCTGAATTCAGTAAATAATAATTCGCTTAGTGGGGTTGCAGGTATATCCTTCCGTAGATAGAGAAATATCCAAGGAGTGTAAAGAGCTTCTCTCTTCTCTCCTTGCAAACAATCTAGTTCTTAACCCCAACTATAACAGGGACACCTTGGCCTCAAGTAGCAGCATAGCCCAACGTCGTCCGTGAGTACCATACACACACCTAAGCGAATACCTTCGTTGAGCACTTGCCTACATAGAGTCCAATGAACACCAGCCGGTGCCCGCGAATGACTGGATCAACTGAATTAGGGGAGGCACAAACATACAACTACCCGCATAAGGGGTTCTTGCACACGGGATTACAACAAGCACACTAGACATAAAGAAGTTCGATGAGAGCAAAGCAGAGTTTGTATATGACAACCGACCATTTATACTAACCGTAAATATCATATATATCGGATGGATATCAAAACCTGCGCGTACGAAGACGGCTTCAACTATTATAGTTTAGTTTACTAGCAAGATCATTGATAAATACTAGGGTAATAATGTTCGTGTGACGAAACTCAAACTATACAACAAAAGTAATCGCTTCGAAGGTTGGGATGCTATGTAAGAAGTACAGATGCGCCGGGTTGTTTACTCAGAGGTAAACTCGTCACTTGTACAAAGTAGTCAAAAAGTAAAAGGTATTAATAACTAAGTAAACTGAGTTGAGCACGAAGCTCCTGTCTAATGGCAGACGTACCAGTCATATATGATCCCTTGGATCCCCCCTGGGATCCATCGGGGCCATCACGTGACTACAACCAAAAGAAATCTCTAGACCGCTTAACCTACGTAACCGATCCTTACTTACTATAAGAGCCTTGATGTGTTTGTCCTGCCAGGGCGCCGCCTAGACTTCACTTCATTACATACTTAACATGTGACACTTGACACCACTTTTTCATTATGTTTTTATCTAACTACTAGAGGGGTCACATTTTCTGGACGGACTTGATGGCTGTGTGTCGCATATTTCAGCAATACTGTTAGGATAATAGTATTATTACTCTCTGCATGCCACCACTTTCATCTCACTTCCTTCTTGACTAGTAAGTTTAATAACTGCGATCGCCTCGCTTAATTTGATCACCATGGTTACCTCGCCTAACTTGATCACCTCGCTCAATGACCACCGTGACCACCTCGCTCAATTTAATCACTGTTAGAATGCAGCGCTTATTGCGACGATGCACTTCCGAGAAGTAAGAGTAAAAACTTTAAATTCCTTGCTTTACTCTATGCCGTATGCCGAAAGGCAACACAAGAAACCAGGACGCCAGCCCCGGAAGGAGGAGTGAGTGTAAAGTCAGTTGGGATAGTCAAGTACCTCTGTCACGGAGCAGATTTAAAAAGAAAGATAGGCGATTGTATCTAATCTTCCGCCCCTAATTGTAGTTTTGTAGGGTTTTGGAAAGGGACTTTTAGCATAGCTCAAGACATATTGCTATTACCTAATATTACCTCAGCTTGTTTAGAACATACTCGTCCTTCAATGTGAATATATCTGTTATTGCTCACATCGGTATATTGGATGTCCGTTGGTAGCAGCACTTCCTGCGGCATGATAAATGATTAGAGGGATCTTTCGTATAGTGGTTTTGCAGTTCTTGCCTATGTTCTCTTCCGCTTCTTACCCTGACCCTCTCTCTACAAGACTGCTCTTACAGGTCGAATCCTAATTGATTGATTGATTTGATTGATTTATTCATATTCGGTTCCAACCGCCCGCCGTAGGGCGGCTATGCCGGAGTCAGAGCTCTACTCTTCTCTCCTTAGTTTTAATCTTTGAAAATACACTAATCTTTCGATTGTACGAAGTAGTTTATAACTCGTGACATATACAATGACTACCAAAATACTTAAGAAGTTACCCTGGCGAGAAATTCTGCCGAATTTGGCCGAATTCGGTTAGCGGAATTTTCTGCCAGTCTCAAAATTTACCAATTCTCCCGGATTATGCCGGATTAGGTTAGCTGCCTTTTCTGCCAGCCTTGGCAGATGCTCACCATGCAATATCCTGCTATTGTGAACCTGTTAGGCCTCCCCAATGGCTTATAGGAAAATTTTCGAAGATCTTACATCGATTCTTGACTACTATTTGTTCACCTGGTACCGATTGGATTTCTTACTCTGTCTCTTTGTGTCGGTTGATCTAGGATAACTCTAGAACATCTCGTCGCCTTCGTCAAATGCGAAAGCCTCAGGGTGCTTCTTCGTAACTAACGCCTATACTGCCTATCTGGTAACCGGCCTGGCATGGGACTAACCTAGGTCGAAGATGACGACAGAGCGTAATGATAGGCTGATTTTTATTTGTCGAATCGCGATTCCAGGTTTTCAGCAGCACAAAAGGAGCATCGGCCACGTAACATTGTTCCCTAGTACGGCCACCATAACAAAACTACATTTTCTGGTTCATGATCCTGGTATCAAGATCCCGTGCCGTCTGCCGATCAAAAGCTGGTGTACGTCTGGAGTGGGAAAATTGGGCATCCCGTCCGCTCTACCATACACAAGCCTCAGATCGGCAGATTAGTAGTTGGGTGGGTGATCACCAGCGAACACCTGCTGTTGTATGTTTTTTTTTGTTCTTTTGGTTCTTCTGGCCATGTTTTTTACTTAGTTGGTAATATGATACCAGGACTTTAGCAATCAGGGTTCGTAGGTGGATGTTTTATATCAGTAGTCATTAGTGAAAATGGGACTTGACCTCTGCATCAGAGGTCAGCACAAAATAGGAGCTATATGGGTTGTTAGGCCTACCTGGAGACCACATTTGATAGATTTGATATATAAGATTTAGTCTGACTGGAAACAAAGCTTAAGGAAGACATGGCACATTGAATTTAGATACAATAAAACTTAAAAGATGTAGAGCGCGTCTGAGGTCGCACGCCTAAAGGAACAGATAATTTGTCCTCATCGCGTAAGGAACGCCTGGAGTGCCGAAAAGAGCTCTCTTTCATGTCCAAGAACCTCTTAAACAGGGAGCCTGGGCATTGCTTCCACGTCACTTACCCTGTTCCATTCTAGTCAGCTTCATGAGCAAGAAGTAGTTAATCAGTGCACTGAATTGTAAGAAGGAAAGACAAACCTCCAATATCTGCAAGCCGTGGAAAAGTATCTATCAAGACACTTCTACGTGCGCGGACAACCCCTTCTTTCTTTTCATGCGAAATAAGGGATCCCCTAGCTGTGCTCTATGCTGCAAATACCCCTACCCCAAATGTTACTATACCGAAGCCAGCGAAGGCTACCATGCACCCAACATGTCTGGCGGCTATGAAATGATTGGTCGAGTTGTCTAGTCTCAACAAGAGTCTACAGAGCATCATTCTCGCATCTGGAAGGGAGACTTGATGAAGAATTAAGTATGAGAGGCGGATCGAAAATTGTTAGCTATTCCATAAAACAGAATAGTAGGTCCCCCAAAGCCCATTGAGCTGGTTTCCTCCATTCCTTCTCGTCAGTGTCGAAAAGACTTTGAGAAAGTATCAATGGTTTACTCACGAAAGCTCTCCACAGCATCATTGGAACAGGAGGTTTTTCCAAGCTCTTGCACTGCTTCTATGCTTTCCACGATGTTTTGGGGTAGTTTGTTTGAACCACCACCTGACGAATCGCGGAGCAGAGGCTCTTGAGAGCAGTCAAAGAAGTCTGCGTCCAGAAGCTGGGCTCTGCTTAGGGGCGAATCGCTTTCGTCGTCCACAATGCAGAGAAGCCAAGATCGAAATATGTGTACATTGTTTTCAAGTACTGGCCATGGGTCACTTTGAGTTCGATGGAGGCTCATCATTGGAGTACCGCTGAATATCCCTTCGAATTTTCTGCTGTAGGATTGAAACGGAATAGAGACGAGAAATACTCGGCGTTGCACAGGACGTGCTGAGTTGCTGCTACTTTAACTTCTGACATATCTAGATGGATTGGTGCTTGATACTCACATGCGATTGAATCCGTTTCCTCTGTTTGTGGTTGACTCTTGGTTTTCTTCGGTGGTTGGGATGATTTTTTCTTTCTGATGTGTGCCATATCCTTTCCATTGACCAAGATGTCGCCCTCCATAGAAACCCCGAAGGAAGAGCTTCCCGCGGTATATTTAAAGTGGTAAATATTCTCACGCGATTCTGCCATGTTTTAAATGTTCTCGATGAAAAGGAAGAAAGTTTGAAATTTTGGAGACTTTTGGGTTGGGGGTAATGAAGGGCAGAAATAATATGGAGGAAACTTCTTACTACTCGATTATTAGTACGATGTTCTACATAAAATCTGCAAATCGTCAGCCCAACATCCTTCCTTGCTACATATCTCATGTGATAATTACCAGCAAATGAGAGAACCCGCACCCGCACCAAAACAGGAAGCACGGCAATCCGTATGCAAGAGCTGCCAGGATATTATTTCTAGCTAAATTAATTCTTAGTTCAATGTGATGCTGGGGCTCTGCGTAGGCGAAGCGGTGATGGCAGAGTGATGGTGCAGCTACACAACTTAAACATTCCGTGTCATTTTATAGGGTATTTCAGACATCTGATCATGCTAAGCAGTGTTTTCATTCTCCCTGCCTCTCCTCAGCCTAAGCACAGGACGATCTAGGCTGACCACCCACCCCAGGATAGGATAGGCTAGGCTAACCACTAAATTTAGTAGGAGGAGGAAGGCAGGCGAGGGACAAGGGGGGAGGAGAGGATAAGGAAGGAGAACGTAGGCTACCCTAGGGCGGGCCAATCGTATCAATTTAATTTACCAAGCGAATTACTCTAATTTATTTTGACAATCAGCGTATTAAATTAATTTCCCTTAGAGTATTAATTAATACTCTAGTTACTTAAGGATTCTGGATTTCATAGGATTTTGAACATTTGTTAAAAATAGGTAATTAAATTAATTCTCTAAGAAGTAAAAACTTGGATTATATATATTCCGATTCCCGAAACTTAAATATTTATCCGTGATCATGTGACAAAAACGCACAGTCTTAAAAGAATACTCGCTAAAGGTCTCATATTATGAAGTTCTACGCTAATAAAAAACTAATAAGCTTACATGCGATTTTAGGCAAATTTCACTTTTAGTACATCCTTTTTATATACTCCCAACATCATCCTACCCAACCGCTTGTTACTCACTTACACATCCTTCTTTGATTTTCAACAATTTTATGTAATTGATTTAATACGCTATTCTTGGAAATTAAATAATTGAGTCCTTTTTGTGTACTATTTTTCATATTAGATTAATTCCCCTAGCAAATTAAACCACTATTTCATGAGGGTATCATTTCAATTCTCCAGGTAATTAGCCAAGAGTATTATTTTAATTACCTATTTCCGCCCTAGGGGTTGCCTCATCAACCACAGTTGTCTTTCCAATGCTCACAACAGCTGGAACAGCAACGAAAATCACGAAACTATCCACGCAACCCGCTTTATCAAAGCCGGGGAAGAGATCACCATCTCTTACGACAAGGGCGACCCGTCCGGCTCTCGGCGTTCTCATCTCAAGAGCGCGTTCGGCTTTGATTGCAACTGCTGTCTCTGCCTTTCACCCACCATTCTCCAATCGAGCGATACTCGTCGCCGCAAAATCCAGCTTCTCGACAATGCGATTGGAGTACCCGAGCGGGTTATGATGAGATCAGAGGAGAGTTTGGCAGACTGCCACTCCTTGCTCCAGCTTCTCGAAGAGGAGTATCAAGGTAGTGCTAGCGCATTAATCGCTCGACTTTACTATGACGCTTTCCAGATCAGTATCACTCATGGTGATCAGGCTCGAGCAAGCTGTTTTACAGAAAGGAGATTTAGATCGAGAATCATCTGTAAGGGTGAGGATAACCCAGAGACACAGGGAATCAAAATTTTAATACAAAATCCAGCTGGGCATAGAAACTATCTTGGTCAGAATTTATAAGGGTTATTTGTATATCTTCGCTTGTACTTTCAAATGGCTTTTGTTCGAGAGAGGGAAATATCGCGAAAAATATTTTCGGTCATGTTATCTAGTCGCTAACTAATGCTTCTTCCCTCCAAACTAGACATAAGAATTGAAGGATAACGTCAAGACGGTCTTAAGTCGAGCTTAAGCCATGGACACCAGCAATGATATCAATCTCTCCCTTCGTCAAATCCGAGCAAACCTCGGTAAACCAATCTACGAAGAGCTTCTCGAGATCCAGCAGTTCAAGAAAACACAGATAAGATCAAAAAATGAGTTTTTTAAAAAATCTAAAATGCCTATTCCTCACGGGTCGTCGCAAGAAAAACCTAGTCTTGCTCCGCAAACGCAAACGTCGCATCATTCACAAGCGTCCCGACAATCTCATTTAAGAAGACTACGTTTTAAGTCTAAAAAATTAATTCAGGGAAAGGAGAGAACTTCAATGTTCGCTGATTTAAAGGCAGATAGTGTAGCTTGGAAAAAGGAAGGAACAAGACATTATAGTGACTCAAAAACTCATTCCAGGAGGAAGAAGTTTGGAGCAACTTACTATAGGAAATAGTAAGACTCAAGATGGAGTGGGAGGTTACGAGGGCTCTTTTTTATCTTGAATTTGATTGCTTGTTTGCTTTGTTTTTATTTTGTTCCTATGGTGTTACAATCTATGGATATTATTTTAATTTAAATTCACTTATTTTAACCGTTACATAACAATGCCGTGCAGTGCGAATGTGGATCTAGGTTCTCGTATTGAATTCTCTACTAGTGCGACTGCATTTATGCTTTCACATAACTAATATCGCAAAAGGGATAGGTGTCTTTATGCCACCAAGAGAGCCATGTGAATTTAAATTCATCATTCATCTTCGTACTTTCCCAACCAGACTCTGTAAGATCTTGGCACTCTTGTAAGGTCGTAGACAAACGAACCCTATCCTTGCGAATTTCCTTTCGTGATCTGAAAACTATATCTGACAGGTGATGAAAGCCAAATAGATTATTAACCTTGTGTCTACAAGCATCTGATCTGCATTGGCCTGAAGGTTGCTGAAGGCCATTTAAATAATTTATCATTATCCCTACGCAATAGCTGACCATGCTTCCCATGCTTCCCATGCTTCCCATGCTTCCCATATAATAACCTGTGACGTATTGTACCTCGTTTAAAGGTGCGCTACAATTATATAACCCTTCCATTTCCGAAGGAGAGCTAGGTGTGTGATAAGTTTGAGGTGATTCGTAGGGCTCTAGAGATACCTCTGTTGTAATCCCAAAGGCTGAAAGTTCCTCTCCTAGTGGGGCATTCTCAAAGACAATATGATAGGGTGTGCTGCCAAAGTATTGGAACCTACAGCCTGAAGTCTCATATGGACCAAAGGTGTATATCTGGTCTCGGGTTGTCCTCACCTATACAATTGTTAGAGGCATTCTAGGAAAGGAGGCATATAAACTACCACGAGAGCCGGAGTAGGAATGATAGGTATGGAATCATGTCGTAGCCACACATCCTTAATTTGCTGCTGGGCAAGTGGACAAAAAAGCTAGATAAGAGTGTTTCGTCGACGGGATTTGATTCAAAATATTAAGAACGGAAGATAGATCATCAGTATAATGAGGATAAATGCCATATGTAGCACGGCCGCAGCAGAAGACAGAGAGGCCACGAAGGGAGGCATTTAACTTAATGGTTCTAAGTCGTAGCGGAGATGTTGTCTTGTCTCTGAATTGACAGGAATACAATGGTGGAGGGGCTGGAGTATCCCACAGTCGAAGGGGCTCGTCGATATTCTGGATACGGACATAATCTCCCTATTATATAATAAGTCCCGTAAATAAATAAACAATAAATTAACATACCCTCTTTTCTAACATTAGCCTACTATGAAAGTTGGAAATCTTTTCGACAACATAGACCTCATGGCGTTTGGCTTGATCAGTTATTGCAGACGGCCAAGAATCTAACACTTCTAGAGATCGTATACCAAGATTATCAATAGCGATAGTAAGTACATCTTCTGTCTGGATGGCTGAGTTCCTGCGCGCAAAATCTGCCGACTTCTTGAATTGATTTCGTTTCTGATACGTTCTATCAGTTATCGGGAGTGTGACTTGATCACCGATTAGGCCGCCCAGCCGCTCCCTCCATTTTCGGGCCGCAAAGATTCTCCACAAGAGCGAGCCATAGGCCATTTTCATTATTTCTTGCATGATTTCTTAGGGGAGCTTACGCAACATCCGCAAGAAATTGTCCTCACACGTGATTTCATCGCTGGTCGGTTCATATAGAATAGGCTCGGAAGCCTCAAAGTCGTCTAATGATGGTGCTGTTTTCCGAGGTCTGGCCCATAAGCTAAATATCTAGATATCTTGCAAGTGTCGGCTAGTGTAGGTATCAGGATGCTTTGAATCACAAAAGCAATCCAAGTGAAATGTTGAACCGTTGGAGCATTGAAAAGAATTGTAACATAATCTCATTTCCTTCCGCTGTTGGCCATCGTACACTGTACACTTCTGGGGTCTTGCGGCAGCAGGGAATTCAAATATCCCAGTCCATTCATGGCGGTCATCATCAGTGCCAGTAACTAGGACATGTTCAGTGTTATTCTGTTGAAGGGAGTCGACAAATTTGTACCTAATGCAACTTGTTCTTGTTCATTAAAGGGCACAGTGCATTAACTCCCTACCCACAGAACTCTGATTCCAGTTACGTTGAGCCTCGTCCTAAGCAGCTTTCAACACGACGAAATTAATGGTCGGTGTGTCCTTATTCTGCCGTACCAAAGTGAGCGCGCGAGTCGCAAGGGCCTTGTCGTCATCGATATTGGGTTTCAAGGCGTCCAAATTCATCTCTTCGTCAGGATCGAGCTCAAAAGTCTCCTCCGCGTCATTGACCATTTGTTGATAGATTGATGGGAAGAAATAAGAGAGGAGAGGAGCATCAATTGCCTCGCGTTCGACGTTGGGTGCGAATTTGGCCTTGCTTATGATGCAAGCCCTTATGCAAACGGATATGATCCTGATACTCAAGATCCACTCTAGATTCATAGAATCGTTGATGATCGCTTGAAGGAGAAAGACAAGGTCAGAAACACTTCGCTGATATCCTTAGAAGCGGCAAAGTAGCCGCCGATTATGGTCTCCCAACCCTGAACAATAAAATACCCGAATCCACCAAGCACTGGCTTGTGAAAAAGGATGAAAGTGTGGATGTAACATAGATATGTGGAAGAAAACCCCAGCAATGCCGAACGGGCGTCATACGAAGAATAAATACGTCAGGAGCTACCTGGAATGGTTCGAGAAAAGATAGAGACCGCAGTAAGAGAGGAGTTACAACCAATAGGAGAGACATTGCTCGGACAACTCACAACGGTGATTCAAGCCTGTCAGGAGAAATTGTATCGAGGTTTTTAGAGGGATATTAAGCAACAGTAGCAGGTGAATACACGATCTACAGCTTCTCCATCCGAAGCGCTCGTACTGCCAACATTCGTGTCACAGACAAAACGCCTGCCAAATTATTTCAGTGTTCAATTGCATACAAGAACTTTCTGAGCGCCTAGGAGAAAGAATATAAAATTCATCGCAAAAGATCAAAAGATTACCCACCTAAAGGGAATTGGGGCTGTGTAGTTGCTGCAGTGTAACACGACGCCTTAAGGTTACCCCTCATCCCAAAAGAGACACATTCAGATACCATTCCCACCTCTACCATCCCCATTAAGAAATCACCTGAAATCTGGAAACAAAAACAAGCAAAGATCGCTAAGATGGTGCGCCAAAGAGACGTCCAAGGAAAAATCTACACCCTCAAAAGCCGATCAGAATGCGCAGCCCTAGGCGTCAGAACACCCAACATCCTACACGGACACATGGTCCTCGTCGTAGATGTTGTTCCTGACCAAGCTCATCATGTTAAGGTGATGACCGTAAGTATCTCAAGTTGAAAAAAAACCACTAGTAACAATAGAAACCACACAGATCACATCGTCCCTCAAAGGCGAAATCGACAACTACCTCCCCATCGCCTGTAACAGATTTGATTCAGTGAATTCGAGGCTTGGTGTCGGGTAGATTTCGGGAAACAAGGCACTGTAGATAGATAAGTAGCACTTCTGCTTGGAGAACTCTTCTCTCCTCGCAGACAATCTAATCATACACCCTGACATATTGTCTGCCCTTTACTCAATTTTTGTCGTACGACAGGCATCGCCATCGTACTGCAAACACCTCAAGATGAGTACTAGCAACAACAACGGGTTCGAAGGATGGGCAGCCAATACCGGCTTGCCTAGCTTCCTCAACCCATTCACCTCGTCCACCTCCCGCGACAACCACCAGCTACCACCACCACCAGAAGGAGGTTACACGATTGAGCAACTTCGAAACCTCATCAGTAAACCTACTACTATTCCCAATGACCCGGATGGTATTCGTAACGCCCTACAAGACCTCCTCAACAAGCACGACCAACTTCAAGTCCAATACGCTACCTCTCGTCGCGACGAAGAAGAAGCAATCACAGACCTTGAGAGAGAACAGAATACGACCGCAGAGCTACGAAACCAACTTCACGCTATGCAACTTCAATTTCATACCACAAGCCAAGCCTTGAATCAAGCTCAAGCTCAAGCTCAAGCTCAAACTCAAGCCCAGCCTCAAGTCTATGCCCAACCCCAAGCTCAACCTCAGCCTCTACCACAAGTTCACGCTTACCCACCCCCTCTAACACTTCGGTCACAACCTTACGCTGACCCTCAACGATTCGGCGGCACGCGACGCTCAGCTGCCGAACTTCATACATACATTATCGACCTGAAGCTGAAGTTAGCCGAGAACGCTGACTGGTGGACTACTGAGAGAAGTAGGATGGCATATGTCTTGAGTACTTTGGAAGGAGATGCTCGCAAACACATCGACCCTCACATTAACGACGATAGCTCCTTCAAAGTAAGCTTGTCATCGGTCGACGACATGCTCGATGTCTTACGCCGAACCTTTGGTAATGTCTATAGTAAGTCAGACAGCTGGCAGCTATTGAAAAAAGAGACTCAGGGACTTCGCCCTACTGACCAATTTCTAAGCTCGTTCTTAGCACTGGCGTCTGCCTCTGGAAACGAAGGCTTCCCTGTCATTGACCTTCTCATGCAGAATATGGACAGACGCATTCATGCTCAAGTCCTCTCCAGCGGCCGATATAGCGACGACATGTCCCCCCACGACCTAGTCAACCTTGTCCGAGAGCAAGACCGCAACTGTAGAAAGATCTTCGGCGAACACTTCACCAAGACCAAGCCTACCAAGCTCGCTTCCATGGCTCTTACCCCCTATACAGTCCCGACGCCTACTGCCTCTACTGCTACTGCTACTGCTTACGAAGACCCGATGGAGCTCGATATGATGAAAGTTGCTGGAAGACTCGTTTGGACTAAGAAGGACGTAGAAGCAAAGCGTCGTGCGAAGACCGATGAAGAGAAGACAGCTCGCAAAGCCTACCAAATCAAACACGACCTTTGCCACTATTGCGATAGCCCCGACCACAATATTGGCACCACTGGATGTCCCAAGCTTGAGGCTCGAGAGTCGACGAAAGCTGCGAAGGAAGCGGGAAAAGTCTAGTCTCTGACGAAAGTCGCCGTCAGAGACGTCTTCGGAAGAAGGTCCTGAAGATATCATCTCTAGAGGAAAGGCAGAAAAGTACGATGGAGGTTCCTTGTAAGGTAGTACAGAAAGGCAATACCAAACACATAACTTCTACTACTTACTTTATGCTCGACTCTGGGGCTTCAGCTCAATATTTCATTGATTCCGATTATGCGCAAAATTGTGGTTTTGAATTCGTCCCACTCGCTCGGCCTCGTCGTCTCCGCATCGCGGACGGGAGACCTTCTTCAGCAGGTGATGTTACTCATATAGTTATCTTGGACATGATTGTCGGGAAGCATGTAGAACGTCAACAACGCTTCCATGTTACTAAACTCGCCTCCCACAACATCATCATAGGACACCCGTGGCTCGCTCTCCACAACCCTCAAATTGACTGGACGAACCACAGTATCGTTTTTGGCTCTACGTACTGTAGAGGACACTGTATGCCTAGGAGGTTGGATTCGGTTCAAGTGAAATGCACTCGTCACGACGTTTCACATATCCCTAAGCCCCTGAAAGTCAGCGCTGCCTCCTTCAACCGGCTGGCATCTACTCACGGCGTTGAAGTGTTCTCTCTATCTGTTTTTGAAATAGACAAAAGGTTAGAGGAGTTAGGCGCGAGCCCTTCTACTCCCGACACCTTGTACAGCATTCGGATGGACGATGGCCTCTCGGGCCAGAAGCGCATGGAAAAGGAGTTACTGATTCAGGACGACTTCCAGCACAAAACCACCGATTCTCGCCAAATGGCTGCTGAACTCTACCTCTGCGGGGCCTCTCTAGACGACATCCAGAAGGCACTCGCAAAGTACAACAACCCTGGAGAGCACGTTGATCCTGAGACTTTGCTCCCTCCACACTTGAAGAAGTGGTCATCTCGGTTATTTAACCGTCAGAAAGCTGATACGCTACCCCCACATCGAGACTGCGACCTGAAGATTGAATTGAAGCCTGGTTCATCTCCTCCCCATGGACCTCTATATAATATGTCTATCCCAGAGTTAGAGGTCTTACGTAAGTACCTCGACGAACAGCTGAAGAAGGGGTTTATTCGAGCAAGTAAATCCCCGGCTGCCTCCCCAGTACTTTTCGCAAAGAAGCCTGGTGGAGGACTACGCTTTTGCGTGGATTACCGAGCACTAAACGATATTACGATCAAAAACCGGTATCCGATACCCCGAATCCAAGAGACACTCCAACGACTCAGCAAAGCAAGGTACTTCACCAAAGTCGATGTCATTGCAGCATTTAACCACATACGAATTAAGGAGGGGGACGAATGGCTAACAGCTTTCAATACTCGCTACGGCCTCTTCGAATCTCTAGTCATGCCATTTGGCCTTACGAACGCTCCAGCAACCTGGCAAGCCCGGATTAACGAAGTACTCCGCCCGTTCCTGGATATCTTTTGCACTGCCTACATAGACGATATACTCATCTATTCAGACGACTTGACCTCGCATCGTAAGCAGGTCGAACAAGTGTTCGAGGCTCTCGAAAAAGCCGGCTTCCAGCTGGACATTAAGAAGTGCCAGTTCGAAGTCCAGGAAGTCACCTATCTAGGCATGATTATATCAACGGATGGAGTGAGAATGGACCCTGAGAAGACCTCGGCTATCACGAACTGGTCTAGGCCAGCTCACCTCAAAGACCTCCAGGCGTTCCTTGGCTTCTCGAACTTCTACCGGCGCTTTGTTAAGGATTTCTCGAGGTTAGTTAAACCATTGAATTTACTATCTAAGAGAGGCGTAAGGTGGGAATGGACCTCGACTTGTGATAAATCGTTTCAAGCACTTAAGCAAGCATTCACTTCTGCACCAACACTTAAGCACTTCGACCCAGAGAAGGAAGTCATTGTCGAATGTGACTCCTCCGACTACGTCTCGGCCGGCATCTTGTCCCAATACCACGATGGAGTTCTCTACCCTGTTGCCTTTATGTCAAAAGTCCTCGACCCCGCGGAATGCAATTACGAAATCTATGACAAGGAACTACTTGCCATAGTACGTTCCTTCGAGTCCTGGCGCTCCGAACTTGTGGGAACCGCGTACCCTGTGTCAGTAATCACTGATCACTCCAACTTGAAGTACTTTATGACTACTAAGCAACTGACCCGCCGTCAAGTCCGGTGGAGCGAGTTTCTCTCTGAATTCGACTTTGTTATTAAACCTGTACCTGGTAAGAAGAACACCAAGTCCGACTCACTTACTCGTCGATCCCAAGACCTCCCGAGCCGAGACGACGACCCTCGGATTATATACCAACAACAGTCACTTCTCAAACCTCAAAATTTAGACCCTGCCATTCGCTTAGCACCTCTAAACGAGGAAGAACGACCCACTGAACAAGAGGAACCAGAACCAGAACCAGACGAGCAGGGAACTGAATCCGACGAC